TTCATTACACCATGGTTTGGAGGGTGTCCATTTGCTACCAAACACACAGCTTGCCTTTCAAGGGTTCATGTGCACACACAAAGCCCCCCTTCCTGTTGTCCACGCGTGGCATGTCCCCTGGGCGTCATCCTGCTGGGCTCCCCTGCACTTGAGGGCTGAGAGGGTACCCATCGTGGGAAGATACTGAATGGCGACAGGGGGCACCCAGCGCTGAGCTGACGGTGTAGAGAGCCCTGGACCCAGACCAGGGAGTGAGCTAGGGACAGGATCCATTGACAGAGGAGGGGCCAAAGGGGAGGGCAGGTGAGGACCGTGGCGGAGGAGCCAAGGACGGATACAAGAGGCTGGGGGACCCGCCACCCCAGGGAAGACACACAGTGTCCAGTGCAGACCAGGAGGACAGCTCTGGCAAGGGGACGGTGTCCTTGCAGGCATCTTGGTAGAAAACTCTCTCTGGCCTTCATCGACACTAGAAGCCTTGGCTGGCCGCCAGCCTCCTCTGCTGCGCTGTTGCGCCAATAAATACTTGTTGGCAGATCGATTAAACCATCTAGGAATGACGTCTGGAAATACGGCTTCCTCTGCCTGGAGCAGACGGACAAGCGCCGAGACCAGCTAGCCCCAAGATGCCTCGTTTCCACGGTCCTCCCAGGGCAGCCCTGAACGGGGACATATTGGAGGCAGGGCTGGCCCAGGCAGCAGGAGGCCAGCAGAGGAGTGGTCACAGCTCTCCCTTGTAGGTCTGTAGCCTTGGAAACCCAAGACTCAGTTTCCTCCCTTATGAAATGGGGATAATAGAGTGACACTGCCTCACTTATTATGACTAAATTATTTTAAATAAAATGAATAAATAGTCAGCCTAGGACACAGAACATGGGTAGAATCCAACAAAAAGTGTAACTATTAATACCTCGATATCAAAACTGCTCCGGGACTGAGCATGGTGGCACACACCTATAATCCCAGCAGCGTAGGAGGCTGAGGTAGGAAGATGGAGAGTTCAAAGCCAGCCTCAGCAATAGCAAGGTGCTAAGCAACTCAGTGAGACTGTGTCTCTAAATAAAATACAAAATAGGCCTGGGATGTGGCTCAGTGGTCGAGCGCCCCTGAGTTCAACCCCTGGTACTCCCCCACCCAAAAAATAAAACTGCTCTGGGGCCCCAGGGCTATGTGTCTGTCTGGGGTGCCTCCCCTCTTCCTGTGTCACTCATCACCGGCCACCAAGAACTCCACAACCTGAGAAAACCACCAACGTGTAGAAAGAGGAGCCTGAAAACCAACTCAGAGCAGATTCCAAAGGACTGGCCTACCCCGGGGGTGGGGTGGGGTGGGGCAACCTCACAGCGGTTGGGACATTTTCAGTGACATTCCCCCATTAGCGATCAAGCACGCCTGATTCCAACCACCGCTGGGCCTGTCTTTATATGACTTAGCTTTTCAGAACACCCTGCAGAGTGCTGTACTAAGCCAGGGCTTTGAGAGGTGGAGATGAAGGGGTAGGAGGAGGAACAATAGCAGAGAAGATGTGTCGGTGCCTCATCCAAACTCACTGCAGAAGACTGGGGTCAGCCCTGGCTGCATGGCCACCCAGCCAGGTGAGCAGACCCTGCTGAGCCTTCTCTCCCTGCCTTGGCAGACGACTGCCATCCAGGCTCCAGCAGGTGCTAGCTGGGCAACCTTGAGCAGCTCAAGCTCTCTGTGCCTTAATTTCTTCATGGCGAAGTAAAGATGATATGACAGGCATTGGCTCAGAAAGTTGTTACAGGGATGTGGCTCAGTGGTAGAGTGCTTGCCTAGCCTGCAGGAGGCCCTGGGTTCAATCCCCAGTGCTGGAAAAACAAAACAACCCCCCGCCCCAACACACACACACAATGATCCAATGAGTTAAAATGTGTGAAGTGCTCAGAATAGAGCCCAGTACAGGCTAAGCACTGCATAAGTGTTAGCTGGTGTTCTTATTGCCATTATTATTATTATTATTATTATTATTATTATTATTTGGGTCCTTGACAATCTGGGACAGCTTCCCATTTGCCTGGTCTAGGTACCATGCTTCTCAGCTCACTGGGATGCCAGAGCCCCTGGGCATCCTGCAGCTCTTTGCAATAAACTCCCAGATGCGGGGCCCCATTTCACTCCACGCTGCAGCAAAAGAACAATTTCACTTGCAAAATTGACAACAGACATTATGTGTTTGCAATATGAAATCGCATCTTGTTTGCAAGAGGAAATAGCATCGCCAGGAGCTCCCGTCCCAGCAAACACGTGCTTCCGAGTTCACTGCGGTTAAGGCCTTTCTAAGCCTTGCTTTTACAGTAACAAAAAAATTCAGAAATTAAAAGTGATATCCATTAACTTACTTCCGTCTCATCAGAGGAGAAGCCTCTCTGAAAACCACTTCCATTTGATTCCATAGATGAACCCCAGAACCTACCCAGCTCACCTAGTTAACTGAAGCAGTGGGCCCCAATTGCTGAGAGTCTGCTCTGTGCTGGTGAGGTTTTATTTTTGTTTTGTTTTGTTTTGAGGTACTAGTGATAGAACTCAGGGCCTTGCACATGCTAGACAAGTGCTCTACCTCTGGACGCCACATCCCCAGCTCTTCGTATTTTATTTCGAGATAGGGTCTTCTTAAGTTACTCTGGCATCAACTCGGTGGTCCTCCTGCCTCCGTCTCCCTGCTAGTGAATTTTTATCATCCCCATTTTGCAAAGGAGAACATTGAAGTTTGAGAGAGGAGGTCAGGATTGCTGAGAGCCTCCTGCTGAGTGCTGCTGCAGTCTAGCCCAGGCCTTCGGGGGCTGCTCCTCTTCCCCCCCAGCAGAGCTCTCTCTTCCACTATAATCCTGGGGGGAAGGAACCCCAGGGAACATCCCTGTCTTCTTTCTCCAGAGCATGTCTCTGACCCTGATCCCCCACTTCCTAGTCAGGGCTATCTGGGGACCAGCCACCATGTCCCCAACTAACACTGGCTCAGAATTCTCCCTATCCACAGGTCCCCACTTTGGGTCTCCTTCCCTGCCCAGAGCCAAACTATTCCCAGTCCCTAGAGATCCATGGTGGACTTCGGCCCCAGTCATTCACTACAGGGACTCACAGCACCTTCCCAATCACTACCCCACTCCTGGGACTCCATTGCAGCCTGTCCTCTGGCCACTCTGTGGTCAGGGCTGGGCCCATGCTGAGCTGACCCTTTCTGCATCATGTCTCGCCCAAGGTTGAAAACAGTATCCTGCCTGCAGAACAGGCTAGCGCCACACCAGACATGCCAACCCTCCTCACTAAATGGGAAATGCCAGGTTTGTTACAGATGACACCCTGGCCTCCCTGGCCTCCTGGATGGGTCCTCCAGATTCTGCCAAACTGAAAAATCAAGGCCAGGGGAGAGGAAGTTGAATAGCTCCAAGTTTTAGGCCCACTGAGCTTCTCCAACTATTGCAAGGACGTGAGCTTAAAAATGCTCAAACACAACTGTCCCTCCGTACCCGGCCTCCCTGATTGTGTGTCTAGGAGGAGACTGCCTCTGACCCTAACATCCAGGAGGGAGCCACTGGTGGCCGCCCTCCTCACATCTCAGCTTCATATCTGAAGGCCAAGCCATGGTCTGAATGGTGTGAATTAACCACCAAGAGGAAGCCCATCTAGGGGTCTCACCTTTGGCTTTGGTAGCTCCCACTGCCTATCAGGCCTTTAATCCTGACTACCATATTATTGGTGCCGACATATATGATGTCACCACAGCTAAGGGAGTGGCCCGGTACTGTCCCATTTTTACAGATGAGTACAGTGAAGTTTATGGAGTTAGGTGGAGTCACCAAAGACAAAACCACTAAGTGTTGGGGAGACATACAGGTGGAAATAAAGAACATCAGACTCCAGAACATTGGTATACTCCGGCCACCCTTCTGGTCCAGTGACTAATTCCAGCAAGTAAAATTTCCCATTCCACTAAACAGTGTTTGTTGTTGCTGTTGGTTTGCTCACCTCTGGGGTTTGCCTGGTCACCCTGTCTTAAGAGGACCCCAGACACTTTCCGTTAAGACTAATTCTGCCCTTCTCAAGATGTACTCTTCTACTCCAAGGTTTATCCAGTAAAACAAAATGGAGTAACGCTTTGCCATTCCATGACACTCTTAGTGCAACAACCACAAAAATAAAATATGAGCAAGAACACCACCAATCATACCACACAGCTGAGAGTACCAGCTGGTAGGCTGGTGTGTGGAATAAGCAGCCATCAGTGCCTGATTCCTGGCCCAGCTCAGCCTAGATTCAACTGGGGACATATGCCCTCCTGGGGCCTCTGTCCAGAGGCCACCCTGCCTCCCCAAGCTAGCTGGTAAAGTTTCCAGTAGCTGCTAAACTTTAAAAATCGGGACAGTTCACACAATCTAGATTTCTGGGTTCTTTTGGAAAAATCCAAAGATGTGACAACATTGAGTTTCCATTCCTCTGGGGAAATCGTCAACTGGGGGATGAGAGACAGTTACTCCTTTAACAGTTCACCAGCAAGAGCTGAATTTGGGGGTTCAGCCCCTGCATACAGCAAGTGGTCAATACATGACTGATGCTACCGTGGCTTATCAGTAACTGGGGTGCATGGCATTTCAGCCCAGGGAAGGTCTTCCTGTTACCTTCCTCCTGCTATAACTAGCACGGATTGTTCTGGGTACCCCTTGTACAGCCAGAAGGATGGGTAATGAACATCTCCACGCAAAGTCACTGTGCTAATAAGCACACACAGCATCGTGTTTGATCCTCACGACAACCCTGAGCTAGATTGCTCCCACCACCATTCCGCAAATGGGAAAATGAGGCACAGCCCAAGCCACCAAGCCTGCAAAAAGGTCAGAATTCAAACCCATGGCTAACCACCGCCCCTGCATGGCAGGATCATCCCAGCGGCTGCTGCACTGGCTCTGCCTCCGGCCTCCTTCCCCAACTCCCCGACCACCGACAGGCAATCTCTGAACCCCGTGCACCTCACCGAGCACACTTACGGTCAAGGCCATTGATATAGCGCATGGTGACTTCGCAGTGGCCCCATACGGCACTCACCACCGGGTACAACTTCTTGCCCTTGAGGCCTCGGAAGGCCACTCCCAGGTACTGGCCGTCCACGATGAAGCTGAGCGTGCCTTCATCCATGTCCAGCACCACCAGCAGCGAGTCGGGCAGCGCGAAGGCCTCGTCGGGTCCTAGGAAGGCCGGGTAGGCGACACCCGGCCGGTTCTTGCCGTCGTGGTAGAGGCGGCTGCGGCCCAGGTCCCAGCCCCACGACTCGGCGTCACTGCCCACCAGCGCCGTGTAGCCCACCGAGTGCAGCGGGGCTCGCGCCGTGGCCACGCCCACCACCGCGTGGGTGCCCCGCTGTCGCGCGGGCCAGTGGATCTGCCAGGCGTGCAGGCCGCGCGCGTGGCCCACCTTGCCGCGGATGCCGTCCGTGCTCTGCGCCACCGGGTGCCGGTGGAAGGTGAGCCGATCGTCCTCCTTGACGAAGACGTTGAGGGAGCGGTCCTCGGGGTTCCACGCGTGCCGCAGCTGCACCGCCAGCGCGGCCGCGGGCATGTCCAACAGCTGGTCCAGCCGGGCGGGTCGCCCAGGCTCTGCACCTCGCAGCTCGCGCTTGGCGGGTCGCAGCGCAGGCTCCCGCACCTCCACCGACTTGAGGCTCCCGGAGAGCTTCTGGCCCATGGCTCACTGTGGGGAGGGGGGCCACTGCAGGCCACTGCTACCTCGTGGGAGCCTCCACTCCCCGTAGCCAGGGACAGACCACGGGGCTGGGAACCCGGTTTCCGGACCGCAGACCTCCACAGCCTCCCCTGGGCTGCGGCAGGGGCCCAAGCTCCTAGAAAGAAGCAAAGGGCACGGGTTATAACAGCAGCATCAACAGCCAGTTACTATTTCATTTATGCCCATGGCCTTGGCTGAGCCCTTGTGCATGCATAGTAATAATGATAATTAATATATTAATATCTGGCATTTATCGAGCACCTGCCATATGCCAGACACTGTTGTAAATGATTTAGATATTAGCTCATTTAATCCTTAAGACGTCACTGTAAGACACATAGGTTATTATTAATAATACATGGGTTATTATTCCAGACATAGGATAAATAATTAGCCAAAGTCCACTACTAATAAGTGAAAGAGCCAATATTCAAGCCAAGGTCACCTGATTTCAGAATCTGTGTTCTGCATTAGAGCAATCATAAGTAATCATTTTAGAAATAAGGGCTGAACCCAGAGAAGCTGGGGCCATAGATATTTAGGGTGTGGTCCATGAGTTCCCAGCCCTGGCTGCCCTAGGGAGCTTAAAAACCATCCTAAAAGCCCCGGGTGGTGATCGAAGTTACTCGAGAGGCTGAGGCAGGATCACAAGTTTGAGGTCACCCTTGGTAACTTAGCAAGACCCTGTCTCATAAGTAAAAAAGGCTGGGAACATGCTTTGGTGATAGAACAATTGGTGGGTACCCTCCCCAACACACGCAAAAAAAGCATCCTAAAATATAGCCAGGCGAGAGAAGCAAAACAACAGAACCAGAATCCACAGGATCACTCAGGGACAAGAGCAGGAGGCACCCCTCTGAGGATCAGGTGCCATCTCCATGGGAAGACCAGTGGGGACAAAGTGGGTAGTGTACAAGAGCTGGTGTCCGAGCTCTAGAGCCAGACAGACTGCACCCAAATCTTTCCTCTCCATGTTAGTTTTGTGTTTCTAAGCCTCTCTCAGACTCTAGGTTCCTCATCTGTAAAATGGGGATAAAATACCTCCCTCCAGGTGGTCTAGGAATCTGAGAGACAATATTATAAAGGGCCACCCTGGACCTCTGTGGTGTTTCTCCTCTGGCTCTGTTCTCTGGGCATCCTGCGTGGACCCTTTTCCCTTGGATGTGCCAGTACTTTCTTTCGTTTATAAACCCTGTTAACAGCCTTTACCCCCTATTTGCATTCCCCGATGCAAAATTCTGGTTTACAAGGAGGAGAAATCGACCACTAGAAGACCAGCTAGAACCCAGGCTGCTTGGGCTGCTTGGACAGGCCCTGGGTGTTGGGAGAGGAGAGCTGAGCCTTGCAGACCAGAGGCATGTGCCCTCCCCTCCCTGATCTGAGAGCTGATGGGCTTGGAACAATTTCCCTAAGAAAGATAAGGAGATAGGGATGTTTTTCATGCCCTCCCACCCTAACAGTGGCACACCTCAGCCAAAGTCCAGGTGGGGAAGGGAAGAAACCTGAAACCACACAGCACGGACAGGGATCCCCTGGGCTTTTTTTTTTTTTTTAACCCTCATTTTATTCTCGACTCCCATTTTCTTTCCATTCTGTTGTTAGACCTCAGCTTCAGCTGATGTTGACCCTATTCAGAGAGTTTTGGCTAATGTTTGACCTGAAGAATAGCAGAGCATGTGGAAATGTGGAGCACTAGACAGTTTTAAGACGGCGGAAGAAAGTTACTCATTTTCATATCTGAAAGCACCCAAAATGAAGAAGAAAGAAAAACAGAAATGCAAACTCCCTCTTCAGCAAAACTAAAACACATTTGTAATCCCAACCACAGTTTAAAGGGAAGAGCTGTCAAAAGCGGTCAAGGGCTGTCCAAAGCAGTGAAGATCCAAAATGGGGGGAGGCAACACCTTGAGAAGACACCTGTGGCTGGAGAGTTGGCAGAGCTACCCAGCAGCTGATATTCCTGAAGGAGAAAACCAAGGGTTCCAGGAGCAGCAGGAACAGTCTGGCAGTGGCCCCTGCCTCTGACGTTTTAGGGAATGATGAGGGGCAGGACTGGTGGAGGAAACCACCAACCTGCCATCTTTGCAGGAATCCGTGTGTTGGTGAGGTGGTTGGAGGAGGGTTCTGAACTGGAAGAAACCACAGCCACAGACCTCTGCAAAGACTTAAAGAAGTCACTGTAACAATCCTGGGAACAAAGTTTCTGTGAATCAGAGAGTAATCCTGCCTTCCTAAGCTAATTCCTAGATTGTTTCCAAAATGTTTGTTCCTCTTTCAAGGAAGAACCAGTACAGGATACAGTTAAAGAAGCTATTAGAGAAATAAAGGAGTAAAAAGAACAGGGGAAAAAAATGGCCAGTCAATACCATTCATCATAAAAAATGCTGTCACAAAGCAGATATAAATTGTAACCAAATTTGCAAGCTAATTTTGTAGTTGCTTATTTTAGGAGGGAGACAACTGGAACAGTCTAAACAAAACATTAAATCCATTTTATATAGTTATTATAAGAATAACCTCCAGAAGTAAAAATAAAATACAAACCTTCCAAACTGTCAGAAGGAACACAACACAAAACCAAATAGACCATATACTCAAAGATTTTGTTTTATGAAGCAACTGAAGCAAAAAGACATAGAGACATAAAATGTGGTAATAAAACTAAGACCAAGGTAATAATTATGTCAGTGTATGCGCATAGAAACTACTAGAAGAAAAGATCCTAAAATTGGGAAATAAGACAAAAAACCCAACCACATGCTACATGCAAGAGACATCCCCAAAGCAAAGAGATTCAACAACTGTGAAAATAAAGGAAGAGAAATATATGAAAGGAAAGTGTAAACTCAAAATAAGAAGGAACTGTACATAACTATATTATGCAGGTAAAGCTGATTTCAGGGAAAAAGATTTAAAATGAGACAAAGAAGAATACGTTAGTATTCTTTATTAGATTTTATTGTATCATATTTAATATTCTTTTTTATATTACACTTTAATGTATTTTTCCTTTTGTTTGTTTTGTACCAGGGATTGAATCCAGGGACACTTAACCACTGAGCCATATACTCAGTCCTTTGTATTTTTTATTTTGAGACAGGGTCTCACTAAGTTGCTTAGGGCCTTGCTAAGTTGCTGTGTCTGGACTTGAACTTATGAACCCTCCTGCCTCAGCCTCCTGAGCTGCTGGAATTACAGGTGTGGGCCACTGCACCCAACTTTTATTGTATTTTAGATGAAGAATATGATTTGTTGTTGAAGATATAACACACCAAATAATAGCACCAAAATTCAGAGCAAAAACAAGAGGAAACATAGGGGAGGGAACTCAGAAACACATTAGAGGTAGGTAATTTTAATTCCCCTCTTCTACTCATGACAGATCAATAGATCAAATTAAGTAAAGACATAAAAAAGCCAAACTTGCATAATTAATAAGACAGATCTAATTGATGTGCATATCCAATGCTATACCTTGAAAACAAAGGAGGCATGTTCTTTCAGGTGTTCCTGGAACCATAGAAAACATTTCCCACATGTTAGGCCACAAATAAAACCCTATCCAAAAGCAAAAGTAATACTGTCTGATAACAGAAAATGTAGAAACAAATCACAAAATTATGAATCACAAAACCCTATCACTTGCACATTTTTAAAAAATCTCTTTGAACAACTCGGGGAAAAAAATCCATGTAAAATTGCAGAATAGCTGGAAAAGAGCAATAAGGAAACATTCCATCCCTTAGAACCCAGGGGATGCTTGTAAGCAGCACCCAGAGGAAATCATTGCTGGAATACCCAATGTTAATAAATTTTTAACAATGAAAATATATGAATTAAACATAATGAAATGGAGAAGTAATGGAACTAATCAAAAACCCAAGAGCTGTTTTCTTTTTTTTTTTTTTTTGGGCGGGGGGAATGGGGGAAATGCCACACAATAACAAAAACAAACCAATAAAACATATAAACCATCTCATCCAACCTAACCTGCCATATTATCTGCTCTTATTAACCATTATATTATTACTGTTAATCTGTCATGTTTAATAACACGTCCCCTGAGTGTGAGATAATGAAACGTCACTTCACCTGTGTGCACTTCCTTCCCTGCAGTCCAATCATGAGAATAACATTGAACAAATTCCAGCTGGAGGGAGTCCAACAAGGTACCTGACCAGTGCCCCTCCAAACCATCAAGGTCATTAAGAACATGGAAGGCCTGAGAAAATGTTACAGCCAGAGAAGCCCAAGATGACCAATAAGAACCACACATAACGTGATATCCTGGATGGGATCCTGGAACAGCAACAGAACTCTGGGTAAAAAATGAAGGAAATCTGAATACAGTGTGGACTTTAGTTAGTAACAATGTGCAGTATTGGTTCATTAGTTCTGATAATGTGCACCACTAATGTAAAAGGTTCATTATAGGGAAAACACTGTGGGTATAAGCAGAGAGTATATAAAACATATCTGCACTATTGGTTTGGGTTTGTTTATTGGTTTCACTTTTTGCAGTGCTGGGGATTGAACCCAGGGCCTCGTGCATGCTAGGTGAAGTGCTTTGTTTTACTTTTCCCAAAATCTAAAATTATTCTAAAAAAAAAAAAAAAACAACCCAAAACTATTAATTAAAAAAATAATCAATTTCTCAATTTTAAGACATATCAAAAAGATGTTGAAAACTAAAATTCACCCACCTCTTGCCTCATTAGTCATTAATCTAATGTACACATTTAGTATTTGGTTGAATTTTATTTCATTTTTCTGTCTATAAAATATTTGTGAATTTTCTTTTAAAAATTGTTATTGTGGGCCTTTATTCAGATTAATTCATCTCAAAAGATTAACATGTTCAAATATTACTAAATGTACTTTAAATGCATGAGTGCAATGACTAAATTTAAAAATAAAAGCTTACAAACCACTTAATCTTATTATTATTATTATTATTTTGTACCAGGGATTAACCAGGGGTGCTTAACCATTGAGTCACATCCCCAGCCCTTTTTTATATTTTTATTAGAAACAGGGTCTTGCTGAGGCTGGCTTTGAACTTGCCATGCTCCTGCCTCAGTCTCCAGAGCAGCTGGGATTACAGGCGTGAGCCAC